TTTTAGGCATCTAAAGACTTCTTTTTGTAAGGAGCATTAAAAAACTTATAAAAAGTGTTACACTATTTAGAAATTGGATTTTCATATAGAAACTTCAATTTTTTTTTATTGTTTTAGAAATCATGTTTAAATTTCTTCTTTCTATAAATTAGTTAGGCACAAATTTTCAACACTATTGAGCTTAGTGTTTTAAATTTATTCACTATTTCATAATTTATTTGCTATTTCATAAGTTATGCAGCATAAGTAGCATAAGTTTTGGTTTTATTTATATAAAAAATTAAAATTAAATTATACCTCAATTTCTCTTTCTGACAATCTGACCTCTTTAAAGTCAAAACTGAAAAATCATGTTCTCAATACAGATGAAATGCTCTTAAAAATGTTTTAGTTCTAATGATAAATTAATATTTACGCTCACATTTAAACAATCAGCAATCAAACAAAAATGAAAATGTATTTTTTTTAAATAAAAAATAAAGCTATTATTATTATTATTATTATTATTATTATTATTATTATTATTATTATAAACCGCAACACTAACACCATACATAGTATAATAATAAAAAAAAAAATCTACATCAATATCATTTAAAATATTTGTTTTATGAGAATCATAATGTTTATATGTGTACTTTACCCAATACCCCAAGGTTCTCGATGATAAGACTAAACTCAGCCTTCTAATAGTTCCCTACAACACTCAAAACTCTTATCAAGTCATAGCATATTTAATTATTCCTCTGTTTATTTTAACGGTATTTTGTAAAATATTTTTTTTTTGTATTGGAAGTATATTTTTTTTTATGTTATTGCAGTATAAAAAAAATTGTAATTAATATTTAGTGAAAATTTAAAGAAAAAAAAAAAAAGTTAAAGCTAATTATAATAAGTATTATGCCTTTCAAAATGTATTATGCCTTTCAACAATCAAAAAATAAAAGGCACTGAAAGAAACAGTAAAAAAAGAGATGAGGACATAGTATCAACATCTTTGAAACAATATCAAGTTTGACACTAAAATTTGGAGTTTTTTTTATTATTTAAAATTGTTTTCCATAAATTGAATTTAGCTAGAATTGACCCACATACATTAAAATTAAACTTGCCATGCTATATACTTAATTTTCAACATACTATGATAAGTTAATCCATTTTTGTTTTAAAAACTTTTAAAAAGATTTTCAAATACAACATATGAAGCAAGCTTATGGAGAAGACCAGCATGCCAAAATTTGTCAAAAGCTTTAGATATTTCATGAACAATAGCTCTAGTCTTTAAATGCCTAACAATGGGTTTTAATTAGAAGAATATTTCCATAAAATTCAAGAGTCAAATTAAAAAAAAAGTTCTTTGCAAATAGCTTTGAGAAATGTCAGACTGAGAAATTGTCAGAATTACCTTGTTAATGGGGTTGTTAAAAATTTTCGAAATGTCTGTAGAGCCTAACTTCTGAGATAAGATACGAGATTTAATGAACTGATCATAATGGAGTTTAGCATCAGACAACATCTTTACACATCAATTTCTTACAATAATAAATAACTGTTTGTTCTTAGAAAAGTTTTTCTTTTAATAAAGATAAAGAAAATGATTACAATTAGATTTAGCAACTCACAAGAAAGTGAAAAACATGGAGTAGAATGAGGCTTTGAAACTTGGAACTGACGAGAAGAAATAAAAGTTTCCATTCCTTTCTGAATCCAGGAGGTTACGTAAGAGGCGCTTTTTTCAGCTGAGACGGAAAAAAAATCAGCCCAAGGACCGTCACAAAGAAAATCAAGAAAAGAGTTCCAATCATCTTTAGAGTAGTAGTAGGTAGTGCGATGATAGAATGAAGTACGAGATAAAAGATTTATAGAGATCATTGCATGGTCAGAACCACCTAAAGGAGAAAAAGGAGAAACTGAACACAAGCTAAGGGTCAGAGACAAAACACAAATCAAGGAGTGAAGGTAAGTAATTAGGGTTGTCTGGAAAACTAGTCAAGTTATCTATTAGAGTAAGAGATTGAGAAATGCAGGAGCTATTGGCTTAGTGCCAGCAGGGTCACAGATGATAAACTTGGTTTAGATGTATTTTAAATTTAGCTTAAGCAATCAAACTGTTACTGGTGTTACGATTTGTTTGCTTAAGCTAAATTTCCACCAAGAGATTGCTTTACTATGGCTTAAGAATATGGATAAATAATGGCTAAATAATGGATAAATAATGGCTAAAAACGGATAAATGATACTTTTATAAAATGGTTGTGAAAAAGAAACTTTTTTATTTATTTTTTTTTAGATTTTTATATTTTAGATTTTTTATATTATGTCGCTATGTTTTAACCATAAAAATATTGTTGACGATAATTTGTGAAAATGTTTTCTTAATTCTTTTTTTTTTTGTGAACATTTGTTCTTATTTCTTAGAATCAAACATTTCTCTCGACAGATCATTTTTTTATAAGTATTTCATAATGAATTTTTTTATAAGTATTTCATAATGAATTTTTTTATAAGTATTTCCCTGTGGACTTTTATTACTCAGTTTAAATCTTTAACTCGTTTTTTTTTTTCAAAGTTCAGAATCTACCTTAAAATTGAATCATTATTCTGTTAAAATGAAATAAATTTTTAAATTTGTTTGCAATGATAAATATAAATACAAAATGAAGTATTTTTTAAGTTTTAAATGGTTATTTGGTTTTGTATTATTTTAGGTATTCATAGGCTGATTCTAAAGTTCTGATTTTAATTCCTAGCCGATTCTGATTTTAATTCCAATTCTTTGTTGCAATTCCAGTTCTTTGCTGATTCTGATTCTTTTACGGTTCAAATTACTTTAACAACACTAATAGTATTAACGCAATTAAAATGGTAATTAAAAAGGGGTAATTAAACCCATTATTAATTTAGTACTTATATAGACTTTATTGGTAAAAAAACTAGCAAAGGTTCTATAGGTACAAGGGTTTAATAACTTAACAAATAGTATAATAATGATGCCCAGAATACATGTAGTATAGAACTTAATAATAATTAGTAACAAATAATATATAAATAAGTCATAGTATAAGAGATCATATCCACAGAATGTTATCTTTTCAATATTTAAGTGTGCGTCTACCGTTAATACTGATAGTTAAGAACTGGCAGGTTCTTGTTTAAGAAAACTTGCATTTGCACTTGCTCTGGAGTTAAGCGGCTTTATTTCCATTGGCAGATAAGTCCTGCAATACTAAATAACCATTCCGAAAACATTGTAGATAGAAGCCTCCCTAAATAATTTGGTGCTAGTTTTTTGATATTTCAGCTAATTTTTTGATATTTCACGTTTTCGTGACTTGGGAGTAGAGGTTCTTTTAAGTAATCTGCTACTTCATCTCAACTCACAAATGAATGAGCTAACAGCTTGCTCTTGTCTTGCTCCTAAAAATCTTGTTTTTGTTTAGCATGAGAAAAGCGCTATTCCATCTAGTTGGCTTATCTTGAAATATGCTGTGTTAAGGCAGTCCCAAAATTTATTGAGATTTCATCAAAAGTTTGTATGAGTTTATTGAATGCTTTAAATGTCCTACAAGTTTTCTACAGGTAACGGTTAATGAAAAAATGCGTTCATTGTCAAGACAACCATTTTTCGACAACAAACTGCATTGTAAGACAAGGAATGTTTCAAAATTTCCCTACTTCTTTTGCACTGAAATTATTTATGGCATTATCTCTAACTATTACATTAAGTTTCTCAAGTTTTCCCCAAAGCCCAAGCGATTCATTCATAAATTTAGCAACATTAGCTGCATTGTGAGAATCATTGGAAAAAGTACCAACCGACAATACACATACAAGTGTTTGCAAAGACCAGGCACCTCACATTTAAGAATTTGAGGGCAGTTTAAATTACAAGATTTATTGCTGAAATTATATGCAAAGATAACTAACCTGTTAGAATAATTTCAATGCTTTCAAAGGGTTACTTCAGTTTTCGGAGCCAAGGTATATGATACCAAGCAGAAAATGTTTCTTGTCTATTAAAGTTCCACGTATTTATCAGAAAGTAACAGGTCAATAAACAAAATTTGTTTATTGATAAAGAAAGCTTACCATGTTAGTATAACTACCAACATGTGAAATTCCACAGCTAACGTCGACTTTATAAGTCTAAAGGCACACTATCTCTTAGAAGATAAAACAAATGTGAATTTGTTTTATCTTCTAAGAGATAGTGAGTCTAAGAGATATATCTTCTAACATCATTGATAACAAGCCTTAGTGAATGGCTTCCACAAGTAAGAAAAAAATCTTGTGAGTTAAGGTTAAGAATTTTGTACATTTTGTACGCCTACATTCTTTCTCTTTACCTGTGATTTATTATCATAACCTTGGCTACGCTTTTTTTTGTAAGGATACTCATTCTTTTTGAATGCTTGTCAAAAAGGCAAGCTGTTATATCTTGCTCTTTGATATAGACGCTTTGATATTTGTACATAAAGCATAGAACATTAAAAACATTTACTTGATGTATATTGAAAATATTCATTTTCAATGAAAGAGGTCTGGCATAAGTATAACGATCTTTAAAGCTTGTTAGCCGTACATCTAGCATGTCTAATAAACTTTAAAGATCGTACAAATATGTAATGATGTACAAATTTAAAGTAAACTTAACGCCTATATCAAATTTGTATCCAATAAAACCCAAAAATAAATATGACCTATAAAATAAACACTTTATTTATCAACATTATATCCACGCCCTGTTTCATTTATGATAAGACTCTTCTCACCTTTTTTACCAGGAATAAAAAAGTTTTCAAACAATTTACTGTTTATTTAATGAGAGGGACGCTAATATTAGCAATAATAAGAACACTAGTAATTTTTTACCAAATAAATTTCCGATTAAACCAGCGAAGCGTCTTAAAACATACAAAAGATGTCTAACTATTCTCAAGTTGAGTTCGAGGTCGTTCATAAGGTTCTATGAGCGTTTACATTAAAAAAATACTGGGAACAAAGTTGATGTTTATGTTCTAAATAATCTTTGGAACTTCAAATTAACATTTTAAAAATTTAAACGTTTTAAGAAATGCAACGTAACATTTAAAATGTAAGATAAACAAAGAATTTTAACAAGTCGTTGTTGATGCACAAAACATGATATTTTTTTAATTTTCAGATAAAATTGGAATATTTGTAATAATTTTCTTGAAAGTAACATCTTAAATAATTACAATTTATTGTTCTTCAAGCAAATGGGACTGACTGCATAAGCGCACACTTTGGATTTTTTATTATGCGATTATCGTGGAGAGCACTAATTATCTTGATAATATTGGTCATTGTTTTTGTTTTGTTCGAAACTCAAAGAAAAGAAAAATCAAAACATATTGAAAAAAAAAGAGCCGTCAAAAGTGAAAGGCGATTTAACTACAAAAAACACAAGAAAATTTTAACAAACAGATTAAAGTCGCTAGTTGCAGGGCAAAGTTTAGGTGCGTTATTTCCTAAATCTGTGGAGAAAAAAAAAACAATCAAGGAAATTGACAACGGTAATTATAAACTACACCGGCTTTTGTTTCAAATGTGGGATCCAAATAAACAAAACGATCAAGCTAATCTTTTAAACTGCGATAACTTGATAAGTATGGATGAAAAGCAATTTAAACAAGGTCGACGTTTTGCTCGTAAATTAAATCATAAGTTTTATGAATATATAAATGTCTCTGAAATTTATGAGACCATTCGACACAGTTGTATGCCTGTTCACAACATATTTTCCTATAAAACTCCAAAATATAGCTATGCATCTTACCCAATAGCATATACTATAACACTTGACCGAACTGCGGAACAATCGTTGCGTTTTTTGTCAAGTATTTATCATCATGACAATATATACTGTATTCACCCTAACTCAATATTCGGCTCAACGTACTTAAATGTTTTTAAAAAAATTTCCGACTGCGTTCCAAATATTATTTTACCCGATCGAATATACGGAATAAAAGTAAAGACATACAATCGTCTATTAGCACAAATTGCTTGTTTCAAAAAACTTCTTAACACCACTGTTCCGTGGAGATATGGATTTAATTTACCCAGTTCTGCTTTTCCATTAAGAAATAATACTTATTTTGTGCAATATTTAAAACAAAAACCGTATGAAAACGTTGTCCCGTGGGATATACCTGCTGAACGTTTTCAAAAACGCTTTATGTATTCGTTTGCTTTGAAAGAAATTGAAGGAGAAACATTACTTGTACGAACAAATATTAAAAAAAAGAATCCTCCTGGAAACATTAAAATATTTCGAAAAGGGGAGCACTTTATATCAACCCGTGAATTTTGGGAATTTCTAACTGAATCTGATATAGCTAAGTCATTCTTAGAATGGGCCCACGACACTAAAAACCCAGAAGACTTTTTTTATGCTAGTATGAATCGGTATAAAGGTGCTCCTGGCGGGATACCATATAACGAAGAGGATCTTCAACAAGAAGGAGCATTACAGACAGTAGAGAGTGAAAATGTAATTGATTTGCCAGATAGCGATTTTGTTGTTAACCTGTGGAAATCTGATCACAGTATAAAATGTCACGGTGTGTATAGAGGTTATATGTGCATTTTTGGATCGGCCGATTTAAGATGGTTAATCCAACAAGATAGTTTGTTTGCTTTTTCATTTGATTACCGAGTTGATCGTGTAGCAATAGATTGTCTTACAAAACATATACAGACTCCATTGCTGACGGAATATAATGAACAAACAAATAATTTGTTCTCATAATGTTTTGTTGTACAAAAGGTTACTAATAAAATTAATAACAGGCTCTTAACCATGTAAGGGTTTAAAGAATTTTTTGTTAGAAAAAACTCTCTAAATGTGTAACTAGTTGACCGGATATATTGGTTGTTTATCAATAGAAAGTATTAGGTCATTAACTAAGGGTCGGGTTGACAGTAAACAAACATATTTTAATGTTGAATAATTTTATCTTCCATAAAAAGTTTTTTTTGTTTATTTAATTCTAGTTTTATAAGTTTGCTTTTAAGTTATACCTATTTTCAGAGCGCGAACTAGCATAAAAGCAAAGCTACACAAGCGCGAACCAGCATAAAAACAAATCAGCAAAAGTGCAAACATAAAAACAAAACATAGAAGCAAACTAACATAAGTGAGACAACTGACATAAGCGAGACAAACGGCTTTAAATAACTAATTAGCATCATATAAAAAGTTTGTCAACCAAAACTCAATAATAGATATGTGCACATTTTACTAAAAATGTCTTCATCTTTCAGTCTTTATAAAACGAGCAAAAAATGTTTTTAATAAATCATAACACAGATAACTAGCTGCAAAAAATAAAAAATTTCAAACAGTTTGTTTTATGAATATTTAGTCCATGTTTTTCAACTTAAAATCTAAAAATTAAAGGTAAATTTATTTATTGCATTGAAATTTTTTCTTAGCATAGATGCTAGGAGCCAGGAACGTTTTAGGAAACCAAAATTTAGAAAAACTTTGGACCTAGCAATAACTCCTCAATCAATCGAGTTGTGATATTGAACCAAGCTACGTCCACTATTACAACTGAAGTTCTTCAGGAGTTGATACCAGGCCCTTTTTTTCCTAAATTTTGGTCAGCTAAAACTTTCATTTAGGGTCCATGGCTCCTAGCATCTCTTTGTTAAAATTTACTTTATTAGTACATGTAAAAAAGAACATAGTAATTTTGTACGTAAAGAGTTACCGTAATAGAGTAGTACCACGACCCTTTTGTAAACTGGGAAATTTAATTTAAGTTATAACTATGTTCAGTAAAATTTTTAGATGTAATGAGAATATCTAAACTTTATCGAATACTTTTAAAAAGAACTAAAATAAATTATTTAATTTTTGCTTATGCTTGGTATACTTAAGCTTTCATTAGTAATATAAATAAATGATTATGAATTTATCTTTATCTTCTTTCTAGAAACCTTTTTTAAAGGCATTGTTTATCATTTTTGAGAAACCTTTTCAAAGGCATTGTTTATCTTCTTTCTAGAAACCTTTTTAGTAGCGTTTAATTTATTTTGATACTATCCTCTTCATTAAAGTTTCTACAACCAAGCTTCCGCTGTGAGGTGGCTATTTCTGTATCATATATTTCTCTTGCAGTCGTTATATTTGTAATAATACTTTTTTGAGGTTAGCACAAAGTTGTAACAAAGTTTTATTCTTTTTTAGGAGATAGTTATCACTCAACCCAACCAACCTTTCAGAAATAGACAAGTCAGGACACATTTCACTTACAAATCTTATGGCGTATATGTCACTGTTGTTCTTTAACCTGAGTTCATCAAATTTGTTCTGCAAAGAGTGGCGTGGCTAGCTAGAATTGGCAGCATTCTGTGAGTTCACTGATGACTTTTTATAAAACGTCTTGTTAACAGAATAAATTTTCAATTTTCAAATTTTTTTTTTTTTAAATGCTATTATCATAGTCATTAAATTTTTTTTTTTAAAATCATTTTTTAATTTTTGTCGATTATCTATTTGCTAGTCGAGAAGAAAACATAGTAATGGCAGAGCTAATTGAGACAATTTCCCTTCGTACAGAGGTACTACTCATACACCGAGTATGTGCAGCCGGGATTTGAACCTGCAATCTATATACAACTTTTAATGTTGAACCTGCAATATGAAGCTGCAAATGTATTAGGACCACGTTTTTTTTCCCATTTATACTAATGATTGAAGCAAAGCTTGTACTCAACTAGATACAATTTTATTTTTAGGTGACACAAATCTATTTTATGCACATAATGATATAAATAGTCTTTTTAAGTCAGAAAACAAAGAGCTATTAAATCATACTGATTGGTTTAATGCAAACAAATTATCTCTAAATATAACAAAAACGAAACATACCTTTCTCAATTGTATTCATGATCGAGAAAAAAATTCTTTAAAACTTCCAAAACTATGTTCTGCCAATCATGAAAAGAAAAAAGAAATCACATTAAAATTTCTACGCGTACTTCACATACATACACATACACGCGTAGATCACATACATTATCTCGAAAATAAAATCTCAAGAAGCATTGGTCAATTTTGTAGAGCAAAGACTTTTTTAAATTCATCTTGCTTAAAGCTTTATTTCCAATTTATTAAATGTCATCTTAATTACGCAAATATTGCTTGGTGCAGTACAAATAAAAATAAAATAAAAAACTATTTACACATTCGTAAAAAGTTTTTTTTTTTTTTTTAACATTTTACAGATTCCCAAGTAAGGATAGGAGTCAATAAACTTCTACCTCTGGTTAGTAATTAAATTCTAAATGACGTCCTTTATGGACGATCCGTAGGGGGTAGAATGAAATAGTTATGACAATGTTTATTCTTTCGTTCTTAATTAACTATTGAATAAATTTTTTGCAAATATTTTTTGATTATATTGTAGAGAATATTTTTCTGAGTAAGATTGTATAAAATTTTATTTTTAATAAAAAAAATGTTGTTATAAACTTATAAGTTTTCGAATTCGTATTAGATTTTTTTTATTTGGAAAGGGAACTTAAAACTCATGGAAATTAAATTTGGTATCATTGACTAAAAACAGAAATCGAAAGTTGTGGGGTTGAATGAAATACGCTAATAAGTAAATAAATACAAAACAATAGCTTATTTTTTAAAAGCTTTTTTATTAGGTCTCAAGTGACCAATAAATCTCCATCATAATTGCGGTTTTTATTAATTAATTAAGTCTCAAGTGGCCGAGTAATCTCTATAAATTGTATGCATAAATTTCAAATCGATTATTATTAAATCTATTTTAATATAAAAAATGCCTCGAAACAACTTACATCCAAATAAAAAAGAAAAACTATACACCGAAAAACAAGTTGCGCTTGCGGTGGCCAAAGTACAAAGCGGTGAATTTTCACTTAACAAATCTGCTAAATCACTCAGGATACCAGTAGCAACTCTTTACAGGCGTGTCCACGGCATAGATGAAACAATTGGCAGTGGTTCAAACACGAGATTGTCAAAACAACTTCAATCAGTTCTGGTAGATAGGCTCATCAAACTATCCGATTGGGGCTTTGGTAGAACTTACAATAACATCATCACACTAGTTACCGACTATTTGCAAAACCAATGTCAGACTCTTTTGTTTCCTAATGGTACACCAAGAAGAGATTGGTATAACCTTTTCATAAACGGGTGGAGTCATAGTTTGAGCATCAGAGCTATAGTCAATATTTTATCATTAAGAGTCGCTTCTTGCATGCAAGAAGTAGTAGCAAAGTATTTCAACACACTGCAAAGAGAATTTAACGTAGCAGGTATCAACAAAAACGCTCCATGTCATTTGTGGAATTTTGATGAAATTGGCTTCTCTTGTGATCAAGGTAAGCAACATATAGTTTGCCGGCGTGGTGCAAAACAACCATTGAAATTGGTTGGTAATTATGAAAAAATCCATTGTATAGTTGGAAATTGCATTAATGCTTCTGGTAATCGTCTTGCTCCATACAATTTTTTCAAATCAAAAAAAACGTCTCTACAGAGATTGGTGTTTAAGTGGTCCAGATAATGCAATATACGCCATATCTCTATCCGTATGGATGGAAGATAAGCAATTTGTGCATTGACTCACTAACGTGTATGTCCCTACCATGAAGAAAACTCCATGTAATTAGTTCAATCTAATTTTAGTTATCTAATTATATTCATCTAATTTTACATTCACAGAATATTACATCAATCTAATTATAATTATCTTTTTTTAGGTATTCATATTTTAGTCATAGATGGACATGTGACACTTGTCACTAATTGGGTTGTACTTATATGCATCGAAAATAATATCTTGTTAATTTGCTTACCAGTTCATTCGTCGCACATTCTGCATCCATTAGATGTTGGTGTTTATTGGCATGTTAAAAGAGTTTGGCGCAAATTACTTCAACAGTTTTATGCTAAGACAAAGTTCAGCAACTTATCAAAAGAATGTTTCAGTCACCTGCAAAAAAAAATTTTCAGCTCTGGTGAAGTTTTTTCACGTACCCAGATAGTCACTGGGTTTTAAAATACTGGCTTGTTTCCACTTGACATCGATAAAATCAATTAGTCAAAAATGCAAATTACTAATACGTTTGTAACACCGACATCTGAACCTGAGCCTTCATCATCTCAACAACCATAATCTATGATAGTACCATCACCAAATCTAGCACCAGAAACTACATTACCTCAGCCACTGCCCACCAACAACATCTAGCATCAGCATTTGTCACATCATGTCATTTGGAGCTCCAAAGTCATCTCAAAAGTCACTTTGTTTGCAAACAACCTTCAATATTGTAGTAACTCCGGCTATTCAAAAGGAAATTCAAAAAGAAGTTGCAAAACAACTGCAATTAGCCCAATCACTTGCAGCAGCTTTGCAACAAATGTTTCATATCCAGCACGTTCATTTTTTCTTTTTTGTGTTTCATATTCATGACACACAAAAAAGAAAAAATGTAGATGTGCCAACATTCGAAGGGAAGTGTTTCAACAAACCTGAAATACTTGAAAGGTTGAAAGATTCTGAAAACAAAAAAGCAGCAAAGCTGAAAACAAAATAGCAGCTAAAAAATAACGTAAGCTTAGCTCTAATGGAGAACAGCAAATAAACCAAGCAACAAGTCTAACGAAAATATTAGCTGGAAACCAATTCAAGAGTAAAAAGTGTTGAAAAGTTTTGGACAAAACTTCAGCAAGTCAAAATATGGAATGGTATCAGTGTGAAAACTCAAATTGCAAGATTTGGCTATGTCAAACATGCATACCACAGCCATACGTAAAAGGCGCTGAGTTTAATTGCACCAAAAAGTGCAGCACAAGTGAAAATTCAAATCAACCTCTAGTACCTCTAAACGATTTGCTTTTTGTTTTTTTAATAAAGTGTTGTTTTAATTACACTTATATTTGCGTATTTCATTCTCCCCGAATGTCAGTGTAGAATGGAATAATTTTTTTTTTTAATCAAATAAAGTTTTATAAAAAACTTTACAAAAAAATTGTTAGATTTTTATATATTTAAACACAGCTCAATATTCTCTACAACTTTAAAAAAAAAAAGTCTTTTTTTCGTAAAAAATTTATAATTAAAAACCTTAACTACTCCATTTGAGCCCATTTTTTATTTTTAAAATAAAAGTATAGCTCTTAAAATATTTCACCTGCTATTTAAAATAAATCAGAACAGATATCTAACCAGATTCTCAAACAACAGTTACATTTAACCCAAAAGTTATGTTGCGGCGACTGAATTTTCAATGTTTAATAGAGAGCCAAAATCATGGATTAAAATATTTATTAATAAACTTAAATTATTCGCTTAAAGAGTTTAAGAACAAATTGAAGCAAAAGTATTGATGAACGACGCAGCAAGAAAAAATATTTCCTGCTCTGAAAAAATATGATCTGCTCTTTTACGGCGTTCTTCAAGAGTTGTTAAACGGAGCCGTTGGAGTCGATCTTCATAGGACAGGTGTTTAATAGTTGATATTGTTTTTGTTGCTCGTTGTCGGACTTGCTCGAGAATGGCAATGTCTGATTTTAAATGCGGCGACCAGCCTTGTACAGCAAACTCAAGATGGGGGCGAATGTAAGTGAGATACAGAGTGCGCCATAAATAAAAACTGCGACTGCAAAATGTTTTTTTAAGTCGTTCTAGCATTCTATTTGCTACTGATGTGGCTGACTCAATTTGCGGTCTGACTTTAAGATCATTCGAGACCATCACACCATGGTCTCTTTCGACTACGGTTTTTTCGAGAGGACGACGGGTGCCGTCGACGTTCGACATTGAGTGTTTGTACGTCGACTTGTTACATCCGCGCCCAACATGCATTACTTTGCATTTCTCAACGTTGAAATGCAAGAGCCAAATGTGTGACCATTCCACTGCTCTGTCAACGTCATCTTGGAGAGTGATTCTGTCCGACTCCTTTTAAATTATCCCTATTATTTTGCTGTCGTCGGCAAACAGTTTCATATGATGAGTAATTCTGTCCGGCAGGTCGTTTACAAAGATTACGAATAGCAATGGGCCCAACCGAGCCTTGAGGCACTAGTGACTGCTTTTCATTCAAAAATAATGCTGTTTATAACCACTCGTTGACATTGTTTAGCCAAGCTACAATCCAATCAACAAGAGCGTCTTGAATACCGTACGCTCTCAGCTTATGAAGGAGGCGTTTATGTGGTACTTTGTCGAACGCCTTTGGAAAATCTGTGTAAATGACGTCTACTGCGTGTCTGCAGTGAGTTGCTTCCGTCATGATGTCCCGAGTTTCTAAAAGGTTTGATACGCATCCCTTACAATGAACAAAGCCATGCTGATTTGGAGAAATTAGACCATTAGCAACGCAGTGTTCCATTATTTTTTTTTTGTAAAATACTTTCCATAATT